CCGGGTAAGATAATGTGTTGTTTTTCTCTTGCCTTTCACAAGCCTCTAACCCAGGAATAACTTGACGCCTATAAGTATATCTTTTCTCAACCGGGTAAGATAATGTGTTGTTTTTCTCGTGCCTTTCACGAGCCTCTAACCCAGGAAGAACTTGACTCGTATAGTATATCAAGTTTGCTTCCATAGCCTTTGTCCAACCAAGAACAAACTACAAGGCAGCAGTTGTTTGATTTTGGAGTTGTCTCTCCTAGAAGAGTGTCTGTCCCCAGCTAACGAGCCTCATCTACCCTAATGACTGTCATCAAGTTTCTATACATTTGCTTTTGTAAACTATATAAACACTTTTCTTCTTTGAATGTTATTGCAGTTGACAACGAAAACACTATTTTTGAATGTTAAATGCAGTGTTCTTATTCAACCACCTTTAATGTTTAAACAACACTGCTCTTCAAAAAAATTTCTTTGTAAGAGTGGTTATTATTACTAGGAAACACTTTATTACATACGATCAGAAAAAAATCGTTAATTTGAACATTATTTGTTGTTGCTTTTTAAACAAATGTTGTTTAATTTTAGTACATTTTCAGAATAGTGTATTCAGTTATCAAAGTAATATTTAACAATAAATGTTCTTTAAGACAACAAATTGAAATAAAAAATGAAAGTACTCAATAGGATAACCTGCATCGAATATTTCGTTAATTAGAAAGTCGATATATTAAATAACATATTTGCCGAATTAGTAGATCTATGAAGACTTATTGATATAAGTGGTAAAGTCAAATTTTTGTCAAAATCGAACAAAGCAGTGTTCAATACTGCTGCAATTTGACTATATATATATATATATATATATATATATATATATATATATATATATATATATATATATATATATATATATATATATATATATATATATACTTATGTATGTTTTCCAAGATTTTTATTTTTAAAAAAATTATTAAACCATGTTACATTTTATAACCAACTTGAATTTGGGAAATCTGCCATATCATATACGTTTTTTTTTAAGACTTGAGTAATTAATACAATTAGCTATGCTATTAATTATCATTATCTACGTGTTATTTTTTTGCAGGAACTCTGACAGCATCCATCAATTATTACAGGGCTATTTTGGGAAAACCAACTGAGCCTTACGACATGACCTTTACCATGCCCATCCTGGTTATCTGGGGGTGTGACGACAAGGCTCTCCACGTCACAGCTGTGGATGACATCAAACGGGCCTTGCCACAAGTGAGCATTGAACGTATAGAAGAGGCTGGTCATTTCGTACAGATGGACACACCTGAGAAGGTCAACAGGGCCATGAGAGCCTGGCTGAATAGACAGGCGTAGTGTTATTTATAAGACAAATAGCAGCGGTCTTAGTATAATGTATAAGGGGAGGTAACAGGCTTATTTTTTTCTGTGTGTAATTAAGCTTTGATTCATTCATAAGGGGAGATAAAATAGCTTTAGTTCAATTTATTAAGGCGGGCAACAGGCTTTATAAGCAGACTTAGTTTAATTTATATTATAAGGGTAGATGAATAGCTTTATTAGCAAGCTTTGTTTCATTTGTTAGGGGAGATAAAGGTTTTTATAAGCAGTCTTAGTTTATTTCTAAGGGGAAATAAAAGCTTGATAAGCAGTCTGAGTTTAATTTATAAGTAATATAAGGGGGGGGGGAATAAAAGACTTTAAATAATTTTATAGGCAGGCGTAGTTTAACTTTTAGGGGCAGATAAACGAATATATAACTTTCATAGTTTCATTTATAAATGGGATTATACAGTTAAATAAACAATTATAGTTTAAATTTAAAGCTGCATAAATGGTTTAGCAAGATTGTGTAGTATGAATAGAAGTAGAGTAACATGGCTTAGTACGTGGTCTTAGTTTAAATATAAAATATAAGGGTTACAATTTTTAATAAAAATTGTTACTTTAAATATAATGGGAAACACATTGCGTAAAAATCAATCTTGGCTTTTATATACACGCTGATCAGCGGCGTAATAGTGTTCATTTTAAAATGTGAATAAGGTGTAAGAGAATGTAATTGCTTCTCTTATATTTTTCTACTCTTATAATATTGTATAATGATAGGACGGGGTGGTCGGGTGGTAGAGCGCACGAACTGAAAGTCTCGAGTTCGGATTCTAGGCTCGAATCTGTACAACGTCCCTGAGTCAACCCAGCTCTTAAAGGTACCTGACTCACGTTAAAGAAGTTAAATCGGTTGGCAAAACTGTCCCTTTATAGAAACAGAAGTAAAAAAAACTCTGCTTCGTCTACCCAATGGAACCAGGGGTCCGATAGGGGAACAATTTTTAACTACTTTTTTACCTACATTTCTTTATCATCAACAAATAAACTTTTGAAAATAAATATTAAGTATCCTTCAAATTCGATCGGCTTAGAGTTATTTCATTTCCTAAGTCCAGTTGTTTTAGTATCGAGTAGTATACACAATTTTTTAAATGTTTTGTCTTGCCCACGTGGACGTGGACGTTGACGTGGACGTGAATGTGAATGTGAAGATACACCTACACCTACACCTACACCTACACCTACACCTACACCTACACCTACACCTACACCTACACCTACACCTACACCTACACCTACACCTACACCTACACCTACACCTACACCTACACCTACACCTACACCTACACCTACACCTACACCTACACCTACACCTACACCTACACCTACACCTACACCTACACCTACACCTACACCTACACCTACACCTACACCTACACCTACACCTAAAGCTACACCTACACCGTCACCTACACCTACACCTACACCTACACCTACACCTACACCTACACCTACACCTACACCTACACCTACATCTACACCTACACCTACACCTACACCTACACCTACACCGTCACCTACACCTACACCTACACCTACACCTACACCTACACCTACACCTACACCTACACCTACACCTACACCTACACCTACACCTACACCTACACCTACACCTACACCTACACCTACACCTACACCTACACCTACACCTACACCTACACCTACACCTACACCTACACCTACACCTACACCTACACCTACACCTACACCTACACCTACACCTACACCTACACCTACACCCTACACCCTACACCCTACACCCTACACCCTACACCCTACACCTACACCTACACCTACACCCTACACCCTACACCCTACACCCTACACCTACACCTACATTTACACCCTACACCTACACCTACACCTACACCTATACCTACACCTACACCTACACCTACACCTACACCTACACCTACACTTACACCTACACCTATGCGAATGCGAATGCGAACGCGAACGCCAACGCCAACACCAACACCAACACCAACATCAACATCAACATAAATATTAATATAAATATATAAATATATATAAATATTTATATTTATTACCTCCCCTGACAGAATAGTTAAATATTTTGATTTATTACTTCTTTTCGACCAAAACACAAACGCAAACACAAATATGTACACAGAGGGCGATTACAGGCGCAAAAATAAACAAAAAATTAAACAAACGCAAACGCAAAAACAAAAGTAAACTCAGAAGAATCGTTGTTGTTTTTCGTGTGTTCTTGCGTGTTACGTTAGCGTTATGTTTGTAACGGTTTATTTGAAACGTTTCACCGTGGTGGAGCACGGCTAAGCAGCTACTATTTGTATTTAATACATTTTACGAGAAGACGGTCTCCCGTGGAGACTTTGGGCTCGGACGACAGGGAAAGCACAAACGCAAATACAAATATGTACACAAAAGCAAATACAAGCGCAAAAATAAACAAAATAAAAACGGGAGTGATCTCCCCTAAACTTTCTCGAATATTCTTATATAACTTGGAATGTAGACATGATTTTTAATTACTTAAACTTTTAAAAATAGAATACAATCTCATAGAAAAAATAATTGCGCATCAAGCGAACACCAAAACAAAATGAGTATAATAGTGCGCAATATTATTAGTACTTTATAAATTTACATGCGTTTTTACTTTCTCGTATATACTAAGTATTGAGAAAGTCTTGTAATCGTGCAAAAAAAAGAAATCGAGATTTTTACAAATCTCGACGTTTTACACCTCACTGATACGGAAAAACATAATTTTGCAATCTTGTCCGTATGTCTGTGTGTGTGTGTGTGTCTGTCTGTCTGTCTGCCTGTCTGTGTGTGTGTAAACACGATTACTTGAGTACCGTTACAGCTATGCTGATGAAATTTCATATATAGGTATTTTATCAAAATCGTAGATCCGTATCAACTTTTGAGCGATTTCCGACAACCGAAAGTGGTACTTTTTCTACTTTGAATTTTTCAAAAGCCTATAACTTGAGTACTATTTTAAATAGATAAATGAAATTTCACATGTAAGTAAAAGATCTAATTCTCTACCTTCTATCAAATTTTGAGTAATTTCCTAAGACCGGAAGTACTAATTTACGCTATTTCCGATTTCTCAAAAAACGCATATAAATTTATAAAGAACTAATAATATTGCGCACTATTATGCGCTTTTTGCTTTGGCGTTCACTTTGTCCGCAATGTTTTTTCTACTAGATTTTATTCTATTTTTAAAAGTTTAAGTAAACAAAAATCATGTCTATATTCCGAGTTGCCATCCCACGTAGTGTTATATTAGAATATTCGAGAAAGTTTAGGGGAGATCACTCCCGGTTTATTTGAGAAAGTAAAAAGTAAACAAACGCAAACGCAAAAACAAAAGTAAACTCAGAAGAAGCGTTTTTTTTTTTACTTTCTCGTTTATACGAAGTATAAAGAACGTTTTACACCTCACTGATACGGAAAAACATAATTTTGCAATCTTGGCCGTATGTCTGTGTGTGTGTGTGTCTGTCTGTCTTTCTGTCTGTGTGTGTGTAAACAAGATAACTTGAGTACCGTTACAGCTAGGTTAATGAAATTTCATATTTAAGTATTTTATCAAAATCGTAGATCCGTATCAACTTTTGAGCGAATTCCGATAACCGGACGTGGTACTTTTTCTACTTTGAATTTTTCAAAAGCCTATGACTTGAGTACTATTTCAGAAAGATAAATGAAATTTCACATGCAAGTAGAATATCTAATTCTCTACCATCTGCCAAATTTTGAGTAATTTCCTAAGACCGGAAGTACTAATTTACGCTATTTCCGATTTCTCAAAAAACGCATATAAATTTATAAAGAACTAATAATATTGCGCACTATTATGCGCTTTTTGCTTTGGCGTTCACTTTGTCCGCAATGTTTTTTCTACTAGATTTTATTCTATTTTTAAAAGTTTAAGTAAACAAAAATCATGTCTATATTCCGAGTTGCCATCCCACGTAGTGTTATATTAGAATATTCGAGAAAGTTTAGGGGAGATCACTCCCGGTTTATTTGAGAAAGTAAAAAGTAAACAAACGCAAACGCAAAAACAAAAGTAAACTCAGAAGAAGCGTTTTTTTTTTTACTTTCTCGTTTATACGAAGTATAAAGAACGTTTTACACCTCACTGATACGGAAAAACATAATTTTGCAATCTTGGCCGTATGTCTGTGTGTGTGTGTGTCTGTCTGTCTTTCTGTCTGTGTGTGTGTAAACAAGATAACTTGAGTACCGTTACAGCTAGGTTAATGAAATTTCATATTTAAGTATTTTATCAAAATCGTAGATCCGTATCAACTTTTGAGCGAATTCCGATAACCGGACGTGGTACTTTTTCTACTTTGAATTTTTCAAAAGCCTATGACTTGAGTACTATTTCAGAAAGATAAATGAAATTTCACATGCAAGTAGAATATCTAATTCTCTACCATCTGCCAAATTTTGAGTAATTTCCTAAGACCGGAAGTACTAATTTACGCTATTTCCGATTTCTCAAAAAACGCATATAAATTTATAAAGAACTAATAATATTGCGCACTATTATGCGCTTTTTGCTTTGGCGTTCACTTTGTCCGCAATGTTTTTTCTACTAGATTTTATTCTATTTTTAAAAGTTTAAGTAAACAAAAATCATGTCTATATTCCGAGTTGCCATCCCACGTAGTGTTATATTAGAATATTCGAGAAAGTTTAGGGGAGATCACTCCCGGTTTATTTGAGAAAGTAAAAAGTAAACAAACGCAAACGCAAAAACAAAAGTAAACTCAGAAGAAGCGTTTTTTTTTTTTTACTTTCTCGTTTATACGAAGTATAAAGAACGTTTTACACCTCACTGATACGGAAAAACATAATTTTGCAATCTTGGCCGTATGTCTGTGTGTGTGTGTGTCTGTCTGTCTTTCTGTCTGTGTGTGTGTAAACAAGATAACTTGAGTACCGTTACAGCTAGGTTAATGAAATTTCATATTTAAGTATTTTATCAAAATCGTAGATCCGTATCAACTTTTGAGCGAATTCCGATAACCGGACGTGGTACTTTTTCTACTTTGAATTTTTCAAAAGCCTATGACTTGAGTACTATTTCAGAAAGATAAATGAAATTTCACATGCAAGTAGAATATCTAATTCTCTACCATCTGCCAAATTTTGAGTAATTTCCTAAGACCGGAAGTACTAATTTACGCTATTTCCGATTTCTCAAAAAACGCATATAAATTTATAAAGAACTAATAATATTGCGCACTATTATGCGCTTTTTGCTTTGGCGTTCACTTTGTCCGCAATGTTTTTTCTACTAGATTTTATTCTATTTTTAAAAGTTTAAGTAAACAAAAATCATGTCTATATTCCGAGTTGCCATCCCACGTAGTGTTATATTAGAATATTCGAGAAAGTTTAGGGGAGATCACTCCCGGTTTATTTGAGAAAGTAAAAAGTAAACAAACGCAAACGCAAAAACAAAAGTAAACTCAGAAGAAGCGTTTTTTTTTTTTTACTTTCTCGTTTATACGAAGTATAAAGAACGTTTTACACCTCACTGATACGGAAAAACATAATTTTGCAATCTTGGCCGTATGTCTGTGTGTGTGTGTGTCTGTCTGTCTTTCTGTCTGTGTGTGTGTAAACAAGATAACTTGAGTACCGTTACAGCTAGGTTAATGAAATTTCATATTTAAGTATTTTATCAAAATCGTAGATCCGTATCAACTTTTGAGCGAATTCCGATAACCGGACGTGGTACTTTTTCTACTTTGAATTTTTCAAAAGCCTATGACTTGAGTACTATTTCAGAAAGATAAATGAAATTTCACATGCAAGTAGAATATCTAATTCTCTACCATCTGCCAAATTTTGAGTAATTTCCTAAGACCGGAAGTACTAATTTACGCTATTTCCGATTTCTCAAAAAACGCATATAAATTTATAAAGAACTAATAATATTGCGCACTATTATGCGCTTTTTGCTTTGGCGTTCACTTTGTCCGCAATGTTTTTTCTACTAGATTTTATTCTATTTTTAAAAGTTTAAGTAAACAAAAATCATGTCTATATTCCGAGTTGCCATCCCACGTAGTGTTATATTAGAATATTCGAGAAGGTTTAGGGGAGATCACTCCCGGTTTATTTGAGAAAGTAAAAAGTAAACAAACGCAAACGCAAAAACAAAAGTAAACTCAGAAGAAGCGGTTTTTTTTTTACTTTCTCGTTTATACGAAGTATAAAGAACGTTTTACACCTCACTGATACGGAAAAACATAATTTTGCAATCTTGTCCGTATGTCTGTGTGTGTGTGTGTCTGTCTGTCTTTCTGTCTGTGTGTGTGTAAACAAGATAACTTGAGTACCGTTACAGCTAGGTTAATGAAATTTCATATTTAAGTATTTTATCAAAATCGTAGATCCGTATCAACTTTTGAGCGAATTCCGATAACCGGACGTGGTACTTTTTCTACTTTGAATTTTTCAAAAGCCTATGACTTGAGTACTATTTCAGAAAGATAAATGAAATTTCACATGCAAGTAGAATATCTAATTCTCTACCATCTGCCAAATTTTGAGTAATTTCCTAAGACCGGAAGTACTAATTTACGCTATTTCCGATTTCTCAAAAAACGCATATAAATTTATAAAGAACTAATAATATTGCGCACTATTATGCGCTTTTTGCTTTGGCGTTCACTTTGTCCGCAATGTTTTTTCTACTAGATTTTATTCTATTTTTAAAAGTTTAAGTAAACAAAAATCATGTCTATATTCCGAGTTGCCATCCCACGTAGTGTTATATTAGAATATTCGAGAAAGTTTAGGGGAGATCACTCCCGGTTTATTTGAGAAAGTAAAAAGTAAACAAACGCAAACGCAAAAACAAAAGTAAACTCAGAAGAAGCGTTTTTTTTTTTTACTTTCTCGTTTATACGAAGTATAAAGAACGTTTTACACCTCACTGATACGGAAAAACATAATTTTGCAATCTTGGCCGTATGTCTGTGTGTGTGTGTGTCTGTCTGTCTTTCTGTCTGTGTGTGTGTAAACAAGATAACTTGAGTACCGTTACAGCTAGGTTAATGAAATTTCATATTTAAGTATTTTATCAAAATCGTAGATCCGTATCAACTTTTGAGCGAATTCCGATAACCGGACGTGGTACTTTTTCTACTTTGAATTTTTCAAAAGCCTATGACTTGAGTACTATTTCAGAAAGATAAATGAAATTTCACATGCAAGTAGAATATCTAATTCTCTACCATCTGCCAAATTTTGAGTAATTTCCTAAGACCGGAAGTACTAATTTACGCTATTTCCGATTTCTCAAAAAACGCATATAAATTTATAAAGAACTAATAATATTGCGCACTATTATGCGCTTTTTGCTTTGGCGTTCACTTTGTCCGCAATGTTTTTTCTACTAGATTTTATTCTATTTTTAAAAGTTTAAGTAAACAAAAATCATGTCTATATTCCGAGTTGCCATCCCACGTAGTGTTATATTAGAATATTCGAGAAAGTTTAGGGGAGATCACTCCCGGTTTATTTGAGAAAGTAAAAAGTAAACAAACGCAAACGCAAAAACAAAAGTAAACTCAGAAGAAGCGTTTTTTTTTTTTACTTTCTCGTTTATACGAAGTATAAAGAACGTTTTACACCTCACTGATACGGAAAAACATAATTTTGCAATCTTGGCCGTATGTCTGTGTGTGTGTGTGGCTGTCTGTCTTTCTGTCTGTGTGTGTGTAAACAAGATAACTTGAGTACCGTTACAGCTAGGTTAATGAAATTTCATATTTAAGTATTTTATCAAAATCGTAGATCCGTATCAACTTTTGAGCGAATTCCGATAACCGGACGTGGTACTTTTTCTACTTTGAATTTTTCAAAAGCCTATGACTTGAGTACTATTTCAGAAAGATAAATGAAATTTCACATGCAAGTAGAATATCTAATTCTCTACCATCTGCCAAATTTTGAGTAATTTCCGTTGACAGGAAGTGGTAATTTTCACTCTTTCCGATTTCTGAGAAAACGCATGTAAATTTATAAAGTACTAATAATATTCCACACTATCATACACATCTTTATTCGGCGTTGGCTTGGTGCGCAATCGTTTTTTCTATGAGATTCTATTCTATTTTTAAAAGTTTAAGTATTTAACCTGGATTAAAAATCAACTATATACCGAGTTCCCATCCCGTGTTTGTTTTATATAAGAATATTCGAGAAAGTTTAGGGGAGATCACTGCCGTTTTTTTTTCATCTGTGCTTGCGTGTTACGTTAGCGTTGTGCTTGTATCGGTATATTTGAACAGTTTCACCGTGGTGGAGCACGGCTAAGCAGCTACTATTTGTATTTAATACATTTCACGAGAAGACGGTCTCGCGTGGAGACCTTGGGCTCGGACGGCAGGGAAAGCATGGTGTTTGGTGGCGGTTCAAGGGAGGGGGGCCTTGTAGATCCGAGCAAATCATATAAAGCACAACCTTTGCCTGTTTTCTGTATTAATATCCCACGGATTGTTGAGCACACGTTGGAGAAGCTATGGTGTTCACCTGGCAACGGTGTGGTATTAATGCTAGTTGTGTATCTAGTCAACCTCAGAGACCTTTTTATCTACCCTGTCTTGCCCCCCTTCAAGGTAAGTAGGCCTTGCGGGGGTCAAGCAGGGTCCTTAGAAAGGTCAAATCGTTCTCAGGCCAGTGGAACAACACTAGGGTTAACACCACAGAACACTCTAATGCTGAACACTAAACTTAACAATCACGTGGCTACAGTTATACATCTAAAGTGCTCAACGTCTAAAAAAATTAATCTTAATGTGATAATTGCTGGCATGTCCATCAAACAACATTTTTTATTTAGTCCTTTAATCCTCATTTCGTCCCTTGATAAATTAGAAAAAAAAAATAATTACTTCCCTTATAAAAAAAATTAGGTAATCTATCGTTTTAGCGTAATCAATTCGGCGGCAGTAGTAATGTGCAGGAGAGGTAACTGATGCATATATTAGTTTAAATAAGTATATATTTCAGTCAAATGTTACAAAATTTAAGAGATAATTGATTTAAAAAAATAATCAGTGACAGAAACAATTTTAAATACCACGAAATATGGGACGGGGTAATTTTGTTTTTTAATGATGAAGAATATATTCGTTTCGTTAGAAATTGTGATTATCTATTATCCTCAGATAATAGTGTGTGTGTGTGTGTGTTATAAGAAAGAGTTCACTGTCCTATGTGCGCTCACCGAGCGGAACTCCCAATTTCCATTAGGTGCTTTTTAATGACCGTTTCACATGCAAACAAACCGAAAGTATCCTGTATCTCTACATCCATTCTACTATATTAGGTATGATTCATATTGTATTCCTACGCATAGCATTGGAGATAATTCAAATTATGGAGGTGACCCTCAACGGCAATCGCTTTTTTTTGTTACTCCTCTTGCATTCACTTGCAATCACTTGACCCAGATTAGATTGACCCAGATTGTGCTCAGGGCTTATTTTATTCATTTAGACTATTTAGGGTCTGTTAAAAGAGAATCAAACAAATAAAATAAACATTATATGCTGCGTATTTTATGTGTATTCTGTGTTATAAGTATGTTTAAATGTTTCATTAATCCTCATTCAGCCTACCTATTAAGCTGAGCAAGTCACGTGACCCACTTATCCCACATGGAAACTAGCCTGGTCACATGACTCCCGCAAAGCCTCTCAGATCCAATGAACCTTATTGCAAAAATTTTTAAAAATAAAATTAAAAAATTAAAAATTAAAATTTAAAAATAAAATTAAAAACAAAAAACCAACTAATTAATACACATTTATACACTAAATACACATTTTTACCTTGTATTTTGAGTTCAACGATTTTCTTAGATACATAAGTGCTAATAAAAATTTAATTTCCACAGGCAAAGATTGTACACCTGCAGAAATACTACAAGAATACAGTCCTGAGTAACAATCCATCAATATCAGTGCTCCAGGATAAAAATCTGGGCAACAGACCCATAATGCTAATGAGTCATTTCATTCGGTTGTGTGGACATACTGTCCAAAGCATATCTTTGTGGTGTAACGGACACCTATCTACCAGCCAGATAGATGGTGAACGCTCCCGGGTTCGTTTCAGGGGTTATATGCAAATGACCTAAAGCCTAAATGAATGAAAACTAACTCAACAACTCACTAGGGCTCGATTTCGAGGTCTAGGGAAAACTAGTGAAACTATTGAAGTTAACAACTCATTCAATCTGCATACAACTTTTAATAAGTGAACAAAGTCGTGGCAGAACACTAGATTAAACAAGATAAAATATTTAGTTTAGAAATAACAAAAACCCAACTTACAAAGCGTAAGAATAAATACTATCACAGTTTCTAACACTTTATAAAAATAGCCACAGAGCACATAACACTGCTATAGCATAAAGAATCACTTGGCCACAAGTAATATAATACTAGGATACTTAAACAACTTAATACTGCACAGCACACTCAGGACTTATGCTCTCCCACAGACGACTGGCCAAAATGGACTGCCTTGAGAAACCTGTGGGCGGCCTATTTATAGACTGAGGCAACCTGGAAGGTCACCTTCAAATCAAAAGGCCATTGGCTGGGGTGGTCATATGGTCTGAATCAATCAATCATATTTTGATGGAAAATTTCTGAGTCTAAGACTCTCTTAGTAAGATAGCGGAAAAAAACCGGTCATTATACCTCAGACCATATATGGTAAGGGAACAAGTGCAAACTAAAATAAACAGACCTAAGTAGGTCACAGTGGGTGCAAAGAGAGTGGCCATAGCTACAGCACTTGCTGTTGTAAATTTTAATAGGGGGTCCAAAGGAATGTTAGACTTTGTTAGAGCAGTAGGTTGTAGCTTATCAAATAATATTCAGATTAGTGGGGTTAGGAGAGATAAAGTTAGGGTTGTGAGGGCAGAAAAGTATGAATTAGCTGAGGTGAAGCTTAGGAGGGCAAAGAGAACTTTAGAAAACAATAGCAGGGGGGAGGGTCTAGCAGTTGTAGAGGGACATCTTTATTTAGCTGGCAGTGCGGATTAGGGTGGGTTTTTCTTTTTTTACCATGTTTGCTATTGATGAATTTGATAATGAATAAAAATATATCTTTAGCAAATTTACCATTTGATTTATACTTTATCATTAGAATATAATGTACTTATGACAAAAATGCAATGGTCATTTATTTTTATTGCTATTTTTTCAAATTTTCTTTGTTTCCCTGTAATTTTTCTTAGGGGTTGATGTTTGTAATTTTATCCCTATTTGTCTTTTTTAAAGCATTCCCCGTGTATTTATTGCTTTTTATGTCCACCATTGGACATAGTTGATTAAAATGTAACCATTGTATGATATTCAACTTGAATTTATTGTTAAAATTGACTTGGCAATCGTTTTTTTTCTTCATTTTTCTCGGTTAGTTGTTTTTTGTGGGAAAATACCTTACTTTGTAAAACATATCTTTGTCAGAAACAATCATGGAGGATTGAAATTTTGTATGGGTATTAAGCATGCTTATATCTATTGGATCACAAAATATAATTGAGTTTGCTTTGTAAGTTGTTTTTTTACAAAAAGTTTTATAAAGAAGGTTCACTGTTTAACGCACGCACTAAAACAGTATTCAAAAGAAAAATCATTAAAATATTTCTAACCAAGATATAAAAAATTCCCTTTGACATCCAATAGATAGGAATAGTTTAAAACCGCATACAAAATGTGAGTGAAATATGTCATTGGGTGTAGAAACTGCATTTTACAAACTTTTTTCAACTATTCTGCAATTTTTATCTCGGTTATGCCTCAATTTTTTTTTATATTTCCTAAACATAGTTTATTTATGTTATTAACATGGGTGTTACCATTATGTAGAAAAAAATAGTTTAAATACAGGTATTCAGAAAAAGTTGCTAAACCTCATGACGGTCCCTTTAAATAAAATTGTGTTCAAACATTTAAAACATCTACCATATTATTTTCAACAAAAGTCCGTATCAAGTTCTTCATAAATCGCCGAAGATTCTGATGTGATATCCTGCGAAAATATATTGCGGAGAGAGAGAGAGAGAGAGAGAGAGAGAGAGAGAGAGAGAGAGAGAACTGCGCACATGGGCTTTTATATATTAGGATTGTTCTTAGATTCGGGTCATAAATTTTGTCAATGTTTGGTATTGTGTTATTCTAGTCTTATCGTTTGTGATTAATTATTTGTTTTTTTTATCTCATAATTGTTGTCGATTTATTTAATTTCAGCTTAATTTAGTTAAAACATTATTTTGTTCACCATTTTTTGCCGGTGACCTACTTATCTTAGGGTTACGGTAACTTTTTCGTCTTCTGTTTGTACAGTTAATTATCTTAAAGAACAGATACGTTTTTAACATAGGCCAATACTTTATGTAATTATGTTTATCGCATGGTTGCGAAACATAAACATTTTAAAGCATTTTACACCTAAAGTGTTGACACTGATTAAATTTAAAATTGTTATTTTCTCTCCACTTCCACTAAATATATAAGGCCTAATAATTAAAACAAGTTAATAAAAAGTCTAGTGACAATTTAAGCGCAATTTCCTTATGTTATCTAAAAATAGATAGTGATCAAGTTTGCTGACGTACGTTCAAGCTAGGAGAACGATCGGTTTGTAGGTGTTTATGTAATTTAAAAAAAAAAATTTGTGACCGAACGAAAGGATATTTTTGAAAACTTTCTTCAGCAATATTGTTCTAAATTATGGCAGGAATCGATTGGTCTGGTTGCCGAGATATAGGCCAAAAACTGCATTTTTTTCGAGGTTTTTTTTTGGCTTTTCCGGGAAATCCAGGAAGGAATTCCGGGAATTGTTTTGGCATATGTTCATCCTCGGAACTTGCTTAACATATTTGCTTTTGGAACTAGTCCTCGATATTGCTTTGTTGAGGAGGAGATACGACTTAAAGCTGCGGACACACATCCACACATCCATCCAGAAATGACGCATTATTAAACGCAATTGCCAGTATGGAAATTGCGCTAAAAATATTGCCATAGTCAATTTAGCTTTAACGAAATTATGGAAACCACCACCCCATCCCTGTATATTACTTCAATAGAATGATTTAAAATACTTTGAAAAAATGTTTTCCTTATTTATTGTTATAGTGTATCAACTCAAAGTACCCAACAGCCCAACACAGTAACATCTCAATGGGGGGAGGGGTCCTGATGGAGGGGTAACGACACCACCGTGTGACCCCCCCCCCCCCCCCGACCTAGTGACGCAACTGATGAATTTAACAAACCGATGAATGCAAATGTCCAACTTTTTCTTCCCCTCCCCTCGACTGTCAAAAATAACCGTGTCGTGTCGGACTTGCTAGACGAGCTACACAACACGACAACTATCGCGTCTGCTGGTTGCATACAGTTGGCTAGATAAAACGTACAGTAACTGGAACTATCAATGAAAGGTCAAGGCTAGCCGAGGCCGAATAAACTGGAACTTTCACATTTGTCAGACTTTTCTCTTCTACGCTGCGTTGTATTATTTTATTTCACAAAAGCAGATTGCATTTTAAACTGGCTGCTGTTTTTAGTGCGTTATAGATTTACCTGCTGTGTACTTCTACAGGGCATCAAGCTTCACTTCGTGGCCAGCGGACCTGAGGGTAAACCTCTGATGTTGTTCATCCACGGCTTCCCTGAGTTCTGGTTCTCGTGGAGGCATCAAATCAAAGAGTTCCAGAAGGATTACAGGTAACAGACCTCATACTCACTGAATAAACAAATCAAACACTTTCTGAAGGACTACAGGTAATCTCACTTGGGACATCATTCATATAAATATAATACAAGGGACGTAACAATAACTACAAAGACAGATCGTAACAAAATATACCAGCTCTAATTACTACTTAATTAATTATGTTAAATTCATGTTGTAATTAACAGGGTGGTTGCTTTAGACACCAGAGGCTGCGGAGAGGCAGAAAAACCCAGTAAGCTGACTGAATATTCAATGGACACACTGCTGTCTGACATTAAGATAACTATCCTTGCTTTAGGTGAGTAATCAAAAACCATGCTACAATTCATCTCAAATTAGTTAAACTACGTTGAATTAAGAATTTCATAAACATTACATCATGCCGGATATAGAAGTTGTATTTTATATATAAAACGACACATATATTATAATAATCGTTACGTTGAATCTTGAGTACACATAACGAGTATTCTAAAATACAAGAATGATTACTGATGTGCAGCTAGCTATTGACCAATGGCCTAGGAGTTGCCTTGTTTCTGCTAGTAGTGTTATACCACTATGTCTCTGTCAATAATGTTAAAAAGGTTGACTGATTCTACACTGCCATAATGTCATTTTTTTTTCATCACAATCCAGTTCAAGCACCACTGTTTTATGTTTACATGTCAAAATATTTAAACAATAAAAATATTTAAAATTAAAAAAAAAAATTAGAATTTCATAAACAACTGTTTTAAAATTGATGATTATTACGCAAGAGTGAGTTATATGTCTTTAACGTACAATGGTTTGCACGAAGAAAACTTTTAATTTGAAAAACATTGAGCATAAATGTTAAACTACGTAAGTGTTTAAGAAACACTGTTTCGCACACAGGTTAAACTTAGCATAAACAGTTTAAAATTGACAAACATTGAGCATAAATGTTAAACTACGTAAGTGTGTAAGACACACTGTTATGCACAAAGATCAAACTTAGCATAAGCATTTTAAAATTGACAAACATTGAACATAAATGTTAAACTACGTAAGCGTTTAACTATAATGTTTGAACAAAGATTAAACTTAGCATACAAATTTAAAAATGGACAAACATTGAACATAAATGTTAAACTACGTAAGCGTTTAACTACAATGTTTGCACAAAGATTAAACTTAGCATGAAAATTTTAAAATTGACAAACATTGAACATAAATGTTAAACTACGTAAGCGTTTAACTACAATGTTTGCACAAAGATTAAACTTAGCATAAAAATTTTAAAATTGACAAACATTGAACATAAATGTTAAACTACGTAAGCGTTTAACTACAATGTTTGCACAAAGATTAAACTTAGCATAAAATTTTTAAAATTGACAAACATTGAACATAAATGTTAAACTACGTAAGCGTTTAACTATAATGTTTGAACAAAGATTAAACTTAGCATAAAAATTTTAAAATTGACAAACATTGAGCATAAATGTTAAACTACGTAAGCGTTTAACTACAATGTTTGCACAAAGATTAAACTTAGCATACAAATTTTAAAATTGACAAACATTGAACATAAATGTTAAACTACCTAAGCGTTTAACTATAATGTTTGAACAAACTTAGCATACAAATTTTAAAATTGACAAACATTGAGCATAAATGTTAAACTACGTAAGCGTTTAACTACAATGTTTGCACAAAGATTAAACTTAGCATAAAAATTTTAAAATTGACAAACATTGAACATAAATGTTAAACTACGTAAGCGTTTAACTACAATGTTTGAACAAACTTAGCATACAAATTTTAAAATTGACAAACATTGAACATAAATGTTAAACTACGTAAGCTTTTAACTACAATGTTTGCCTAGCATGAGATCATTGCCACATCCCCATGGTACACAAGTTGTGTTCTGGTCGCTCACGACTGGGGCGTCGCCATATCGTGGACCTTCTGCCGATACTACCCGCAGATGGTTGATAAATTTATTGTCATGAATGCGCCGCCTCTGCCGGTGTTTGAAAAGATGATGAGACGGAAGGAGCAGTTTAAGATGTCTTGGTGAGTGTTCATTAATTACATGTTAGGGGATAGAAGTGTGTAAACGTGAATATTGTGGTACGTGTTCATTAATTAGGCCTACATGTTGGAAGATAGAAATAAGTATGGCTGTTCCACAAAATATTAGTATTGTGGTAAGTGTTGATTAATTACATGTTGGAGGATTGAAGTAAGTATGGCTATTCCACACAATTTTAGTATTGTGGTAAGTGTTGATTAATTACATGTTGGAGGATTGAAGTACGTATGGCTATTCCACACAATTTTAGTATTAGGATAAGTGTTAATTAGGTGTTGGTAAAAATAAGTGTATTAGTATAGCAATTCCACAAAAGTTTGTTTAGTATTATGGCAAGTGTTAAATACTTATTTTATTCAAGAAGTGTGTAAGTAAGGCTATTCCACAAATGTGTAGTATTACATACCTGAAAAAGAAATTTAAAAAAAAGCCATTTAGGAAGATGAAGGTGGTCAGTACTATGCCTGTTTTTTCCCTAACGCGAGTTCTACTTACTTAAACCCGGATTCTAACTCCGGAATTTCAAGTCCGCATTCTACTACTCTACCGCTACAACCACGCCGTCCCAAACTTAACTTTAATGTCGCCAATTTACAAGCAATTTCTATTGTTTTTCTTACCTTTACACGAGTCCTCCTTAGCTACGTGTATTTATTTCAACTCCCGTATCATCTAGGTCTCTACCTCTAGACCAGGGGTCGGCAACCTTTGGAGACGAAAGAGCCAAAAGTTACAATTTACAAAATTACCCATTTTTTAAAGAGCCACTCACATTTTTATGTCAATAGTATATTTGTTTAGGATTATATATATATATATATATATATATATATATATATATATATATATATATATATATATATAATATCATACTAAATATATAATTTAAAATAATAGCTTTGAATAAATGAAATAATCCCATATGAATTTGTGTTGAGAGGATCTACTATGTAAGTCAGAGTACTTGCATTTGTTTTGAATTGCTAAAATCTCTCAGTGAAAACATCCTTCATTTTGTTTACATTAATGCTGAGGTGATTGAATAGTAGCATTGGTTTCATAACGATAATTTGTTTTTTAATTTTTCGTAATTAAGTAAATTACCACTTACCATGTATTCAACAAAAAAAAAGTATTTTTTTTTTCGAAACAAACCACTTCTTCATGCAAGACACTAAGCTGGTTTAGTTTGTTTGAGATATCTACAATGAAAATGAATATTTCAGTTCGGAATGGACAATGTAATAGGAAGTACATTGAGATAGGGAGTAACTAAATATTCTAATACAATAGCGAGTGTTTATTGTTTATATCTATGGTTATATCGTTTATTCCCGAGTGTTGCAGACTTATATTTTTATGAGTTTAAAAAAAAAATTGTAAATATTTGTGCATGGAGCTGAAGAGCCGCAACTGGACATCAAAAGAGCCGCATGTGGCTCGCGAGCCGCAGGTTGCCGACCCCTGCTCTAGACCACTATGTACCATACATCCCAAACTTAACTTAAATAACACCAATTGTTGTTCTAACCTGTACATTTTTCCCACCCCCAGGTACATTTACTTCTCCCAACTCCCGTATCTCCCAGAGCTGTACATTAGGATGAAAAATTTTGAAGCCCTTGAGAGCTGCTATGGCATCAAGAAAACTGGAGGTCTCTGTTTCTCTGGAGCTTTCAACAAGCCTTTACCTCGGGAAGAACTTGACGCCTATATGTACATCTTCTCTCAACAAGGTAAAAGTGCTGTTTTTGTTTTATCTTTTACAAGCTTCTATTTTAGGATAAACGTAATGCCTTTAAGTAAATCTTTGATCAACCACGTAAAAAAAGTTATTTTCTGGTGCCTTTTAAATAAAGTTTAATCAAGAGCCAAGAAGAATTAGTTGCATCTTTTAACAATTTTGGTTAAGTAAATAAAGAAACGTAACTTTCATCATCGCATTTCTTTTTGTATTTTTCAATGTAAAAATATTTTTTTAAAAGAGAATTATTTAGATATTTATTATACATCTTAAATATTTTTATTGATAACGTTATAAAATTTGATAACATAAGCCATGCTGATTTTTCATGAAAATATCAGTACAATCAATAGTTCAGTCATATTTTTTTATATAATAAACCAGTTGCCGTTCTTGCTTTGGTGTTGCGTTGTCTTATAAAAAAAAAATAATATAAGTCTTGAAACATAATACATTTTCTTTTACCCACACCCATATAATTATAATTGTAAATTTTATATATAATTTAAGTTTAAGAAATATATTATATCAAAAGCCTTTATTTTAATTAAGAATTAATTACTTAATTAATTAATTAAAACCCATTACTACTTAATTATGTATCATTTTTACATGTATTTCTGCAGAGACTCTGTCAGCATCGATCAATTATTACAGAGCTATTCTGGGAGCACCAGTTGATGCTTACGACATGACATTTACCATGCCCATCCTGGTTATCTGGGGGTGTGACGACAAGGCTATCCACGTCACAGCAGTGGATGACATCAAACGGGCCTTGCCACAAGTGACCATTGAACGTATAGAAGAGGCTGGTCATTTCGTACAGATGGACACACCTGAGAAGGTCAACAGGGCCATGAGAGCCTGGCTGAATAAACAGGCGTAGTTTTATTTATAAGACATATAGCATCGGTCTTAGTATAATGTATAAGGGGAGGTAACAGGCTTATTTTTTTTTGTATAAGCAAGCTTTGATTCATTCATAAGGGGAGATAAAATAGCTTTAGTTCAATTTATTAAGGCGGGCAACAGGCTTTATAAGCAGACTTAGTTTAATTTATATTATAAGGGTAGATGAATAGCTTTATTAGCAAGCTTTGTTTCATTTGTTAGGGGAGATAAAGGTTTTTATAAGCAGTCTTAGTTTTTTTCTAAGGGGAAATAAAAGCTTGATAAGCAGTCTGAGTTTAATTTATAAGTAATATAAGGGGGATAAAAGACTTTAAATAATTTTATAGGCAGGCGTAGTTTAACTTTTAGGGGCAGATAAACGACTTTATAACTTTCAAAGTTTCATTTATAAATGCGATTATACAGTTAAATAAACAATCATAGTTTAAATTTAAGGCTGCATAAATGGTTTAGCAAGATTGTGTAGTATAAATAGAAGTAGAGAAACATGGCTTAGTACGTGGTCTTAGTTTAAATATAAAATATAAGGATTACAATTTTTAATACAAATTGTTAGTTTAAATACAATGGGAAACACATTGCGTAAAAATCAATCTTGGCTTTTATACACTAGCAGATCAGCGGCGTAATAGTGTACATATTAAAATTTGAATAAGGTGTAAGAGAATGTAACTGCTTCTCTTATATTTTTCTACTCTTATAATATTTTATATTGATAGGACGGGGTGGTCGGGTGGTAGAGCGCACGAACTGAAAGTCTCGAGTTCGGATTCTAGGCTCGAATCTGTACAACGCACCTGAGCCAATCCAGCTCTTTTAGGTACCTGACTCACGTTAAAGAAGTTAAATCGGTTGGCCAAACTGTCCCATTATAGAAACAGAAGTAAAAAAACAAACTCTGCTTCGTCTACCCAAAGGAACGAGGGATCCAAAAGGGTAACTTCAGTTTAAATATGAGGGGAGATAACCAACTAAATATATCAGTCTTTGTGATACAAAGGTGTATACATTGTCTTTGCAATGAATACATTCATTAAATATTTTCTTGTGGATCACGCTTAATTTATATAAAACATGGAAATTCATATTGTGTAAAATTCTTGAACACTTTTTAACTACTTTTCTACCTACATTTCTTTATCATCAACATATAAACTTTAGAAAATAAATATTAAGTATCCTTCAAATTTGATCGGCTTAAAGATAATTAATTGTGTTAGTCCAATTGTTTAAGTATCGAGTAGGATACAGTATACACCCTTACAAACCTTAATACAAAACAAATTAAATGGAGGTATAGTAGGGCTACACGACATTCATACTAAAATAAACACCTTCCGATTAAAACACCTGGATAGAATAAGGATAGAACCACCTTATCATCCATTAGCACAATACTATATAGGGTTAAACATAAAGAGCATTTTAAAATTAAGCATCAAAACACCACACTATGGGGGAAATGACATAGGCAGCTTTTATAAAGAAACGCTAGCAATATTCCAAGGAAACAAAAGCATTATTGGAGAAGACGACACACACACACAAATATACGACATCCTAATCAAACAACAAGCGACAACCTTATACACGAGAATTATTTGGGCCAGGGAACACAATTTAATAGACATTAAAGATACATTTAGAAACCTACATAATAAACGCATTACACCAAAAGAAAGGGAAGTAGCATACAGACTGATTTTTAATACAACTCCAGTTTCACGAAATACAAAGTCAAATCAAAATGTTATAATACCATGTCAAACGTGTAAACAAAATATACAAGAAACTGAGAAACACATTTATTTAGATTGTATATTAGTACAGAAAACAAAGCAAACACTTGCGAAAATATTAAACACCATCAATCAAACAGCCACAACAAATAAAGCAATCACACTTGACTTAATTAACACGACTAGACAAAGAACAGAAGACGAAAATATACAAGATATACAAGAAACTGAGAAACACATTTATTTATATTGTATATTAGTACAGAAAGCAAAGCAAACACTTGCGAAAATATTAAACACCAACAATCAAACAGCCACAATAAATAAAGCAATCACACTTAATTTAATTAACACGACTAGACAAAGAAAAGAAGACGAAAACAGACTATTTATAGATCGACCATATGGTAAATTAGGAATAAATTCAAACATTTTTTTAACTAAATTTTATGACTTAAAAAATACACACCTAATTAATGTAAAAATGCAAATTCAGATCACTAAAGCATATCGTCGGCTGTGAAATAAAATTTATTTCCTGTGGGGTTGGGGGTGGGGGGGGGTGGATATCAGCGGACGCCAAAGAAAAGATAGTCTATTTTTAAAAGTCACTTTAAAAAAAAAACTCTTTTTAAATTAAAAAAAAATGTTAACGACTTTTTTTGGTTGGCCCCTATCATATATTCAGTTCTGAATTTTTTTCGGTACAGAAAATCCAACAAAGCTGAACGGATCTAATGAGCTTTGAATCAAAGCCGGATGTAAACAAGGAATAGTTGCTGGAATTTTTCCCACCCTACGTTACTTTCTATGATCTCATTTCATACCTTTTTTAATTATCAAGCGTTTAATATACAATTATTTGATGTTTCAAAACGCCATTCTTGTCTGAGAAATACTAAGGCAAAATTATCCTCGTTAAAATTTAAACGGCGACGGATATCGAAAGGAACCGTGTTTACATTGGATGAAAGAGGAGATGTGGGTCGGGGGCTGTTGTGGTGGCAACCTGTCTACAAGATAAACAAATGGCAAGTGAACTTTCACACGGAATTCCCACTGCTAAATATAGCACGATTATCTCTTCAAAGGAGAAGCGCCTCAAAGGCAAGAAACATGTAAACAATGGCCAGAAACGCGTAAATAAAGGCGTTAGATATTTGAATTATGCATAAAAAACGATGCATTTAACCTGTAAATAAGGCATTAAACGTGTAAGTTGCCCTTTCTAAACCTGACGTTGTATTGTGCGAGTGAAGTAGAGTTCACCTTTTTCTGTGAGCTCCGCACATGAAGGGAAAGTATGGTTGGCACTATGCCCTGCCGCCTTTACTTTCCCCAACTTGAGTTGGGTACCCAACAGAGCTGGTTGGACTCAGGGACTGTTTACTGACTTGAAACCGGATTCGAACTCTAGGCATACGCGTTAGCAGTCCAGCTCTCAAACTCTAGGCCACTCCGTTCCCGACCTTTGGTTGGCAGTCCATACCCCAGCAGGACAGAGAACTCTGGAGATCTATGGTTGGCGGCCCATACCACAGCAGGACAGAGAACTCTGGAGATCTATGGTTGGCGGTCCATACCACAGCAGGACAGAGGACTCTGCAGATCTATGGTTGGCGGTCCATACCACAGCAGGACAGAGGACTCTGGAGATCTATGGTTGGCGGTCCATACCACAGCAGGACAGAGAACTCTGGAGATCTATGGTTGGCGGTCCATACCACAGCAGGACAGAGAATTCTTGAGATCTATGGTTGGCGGCCCATACCACAGCAGGACAGAGGACTCTGGAGATCTATGGTTGGCGGTCCATACCCCAGCAGGACAGAGAATTCTTGAGATCTATGGTTGGCGGCCCATATACCGGCAGGAGTAACGGGCAGTGATGGTTATGATGATCCAATAGAAGATAAATAGTAGCCAAGGTAATTTCGTAATTTGGGCTAATTATTGTTAGAATGCACATAGTGTGAATGCAAGCATGCAACTAGCTTCACATAGACACAAACACAAGATGGAACATTCAACACAACAATCCCATACCTATAGCACAAAACCACTCCACACATCCCACCCTACTCCATCTCACACAACCATCCCACACAACCATTCCTCAGATATATCCCCCACATCCACCATAAACAACCCCTCCATAAATCCACCCCACACATCCCACCCCGCACAAACCACCCCACACAACCATCCCAAACATCCAGCCCCCACATCTATCGTACACAACCACTCTACAACCCCCCACATCCCACCCCACACATCCATCCCACATATCCAACCCACACAACCATCCCACACACCCATCCCCACACAACTATCCCCACACAACCATCCCACCCTACCAACACACACAATCACCCCACATAATCACCCCACACATCCATCCCCCACAACCACCCAAACCTCCACCCCACATCCACCTCACACAACCACCCCCACAACCACCCCCCACATCCACCCCCCACAACCACCACACACCACCACCCCACACAGCGCTATCACTAATCCAGCCACCCCATGCAGGGCCATGTTGCGGCGAGCTATAAATAGAATCAACTAAACGAAACCCAGTACCCCCCCCCTTCCACCTCCCCGTACTTTAATTAACGGTTTCAGCCTTGATTGACCTTGCAGGCTCTAACCCAGCTGATTTAATTGGCCTTCTCCTCCCGTGAAAATTTCGACAAGCTTCCTATTTCTTAAATTTCGTGTAGACAGAATAATTAAATCTACCCAGAAACCAAGGTGTGATATCTTCACGTTCATTGTGTACCTAACTCGTTAATTCTGTTGGAAGCTTTAGCCTTGCAAGCAGTGTATACGTCTGGTTTACAAGTAAGTTGATGTGAATTCTATGTGAATTTTAATAGCTTTGTTTACAAACTACTTGCCTGCTGGTAGGGACTGTTGTAGTTAGAAATGTTTATAGAGATTTTTTTTTTAACCAAGGGGTAACTATACACAAGCAACATCTTTTTATAAAGAGAAACACAATTATTATTTTTTTTTTTGCAATTCAGTTTTAGAGAACAAGATTGTAAAATTATGTTTTTCCGACTCAGTGAGGTGTACCATTTGCAAAAATCTCGATATTTTAAATTATATTTTTTTTGCACGATTACAATACTTTGTCTACTTTGTCTATACTTCGTATAAAAGAAAGTTAAAAAGGGGAGATCAGCGTTTTATTTGTATACACTTCGTAGGGTTGTCTATACAT